AAATGGCAGATACCGCCCTATGAATTACAAGCTCCGCCCACATAGAAGCAGTCGCGGATTCTGCGCTTTGAAGCATTTTTTGCAGGCAGATCTCTTTTAGCACTTTACTTTTTAGCTATTGATGTAGTTCTTCACTCACCCTGAACTCGCAAGTTTTTCCCGCAAATCCTTCTCTACATTCACATTGAAATGAGCCATTGAGCGAGGTGCACAAAGCTCCATTTTTACAAGGTAACGAAGCACAGAGATCTACTTCAGTGTCGCATGCCTCGCCCGTAAAGCCAGGGTTGCAAATACACCTATAACACCTGATTTCCTCTGGACCCTTTAAACCGTGAGCAAAGCTCCATACCTCGCTGCGCCTACGCCATCAAGGCAGTAGCCTCGTCCACAGTCCATTCCAGCACAGTCGTTCACATTCATTTCACAAAGGGAACCTTCGAATCCAGGAGGACAGACACATGTGAAAGCATTCCACATGTCACGACACTCGCCACGAACACAAGGAGAGGCAAGATCACACTGTGGTGATGACAAACATGTCGTGGCAATCTGCAATACGAGATTACGTTGGGTACGAGACGTGTAATCTGGTGAAATCTTACCTTTTTCTTGTTCTGGATTGCCCAATGGGTAGCGTTGGATGATTGCCAAGTTTCGGATTCTTCATAGAATGACAAAGGAGGTAAGTCTCCCACTGTGATATCTTTGAGGCAGCCTTCGAAGGAAGGAATATTTTCGAGGGCACCAAGGCGTAGAGTTCCGGAAGATATTCGGGTTGGTAAGTGGGCGGAGTCGGGTAAGCCTAAATATCACAGAATAGTCAGCAAGCTTCGGCAAAAGTTCAGGGGTCAAAACTTTTGTGTTTTCTAGAGTTTTGACCAAACATGCTTTTATGGCCACAATCTTCTTGTTTTTTTTTCTAAAGTTCTTTTTTGAGACCAGTAAAAACTGAAAACTACTTATTTTACTTATTTATCTATTCCATAAGCACATTGCAGAGCTCTCACAAACCTAACAAGAAGATAACACCATAATAAGAAGTGCAAACCTGAAGTTATAGAGTAAAAAACAAAGTCAGCCAAAGAAATAAAGCAATTATTTTTGTCGGCACAATTATCATGTA